TCGTTCACTCATTTAGCAAAGCTAAGGACATAATGTTTAACACGTAAAAAAGAAAAGTTACAAATAAATTCCTGAGAAATAGTGCTTCTAGCAAATTCAGAAAACCAAACCCCAATCCCAGAGCTCCAGTCCCCTGTTACTCTAGCAATAATGGAGCAGTAAATCTCATTTGTATTGTATGGAGAATTAAGTCAAGCTGGTCTAGAGCCAAGCTGTTTTTAATTCACTTGACAAGTTACAGTTTTCGTTTAACTCCACCCCTTCCCCTAAGAAGTGGTGGGAAGAGAATTGGATTAAAAATTAGACACTCTGGTTCCAGCGCTGTGCCTCTTGAACAAGTTATCGAGTCTGTGATTCATTTTTCTCATCTGCAAAAGAGGAATGTTAACATGTTTCAAGTTATCCTATATTATGGAAATGCATACTGCATCAGTATATCTAGAGCTTATTTAGGCCAGCTGGAATGGAATCATTAAGGCTTGGAAACCATTATGTAAAACTAGTAAGAAACCTGGCTTAGAGAAAAGAGTTTCTGATGGGTCCTGCTATCCCAGCACTCTGCACAATACCCCAGTGGCAGCATTTGGTCATTCCTGACAAACATGTCTCAGTTACTGTACTCTGTTTGCTGAAGGCTGCAAACTTAGTCTTCATGCATTGCTTCCAAGACTTCAAAAGCTCTTTAATGAAAACCCGAACAGAAGAACTAAAGCATTCATTCGTGCCTATTAAAGAGCTGGGGAGGGTTGGGAGGTATGTGTTCCCTAGTTGTGAAGATAAGATGAGGATGTCTGGGAAGGTCACCTCTCCAGACGTGCCAGATCGTTGTAAAGATCTACTGTCTGCCAGGACAGCCCTTTGTCTCTATTGCAAGGTAGGCTCATTCCTCATGCCTTGGGTCTAATGCAGTCTTTTCTCCTCAATTGGCACCTTCATCGTTTCTCTCTAATGTTTCTCTGCTTTACATCACTTTCTTGTCCCCTCCCAGATGCAGATCATTTGTCTGGTAGAAAGTAAGGAAACTGCAAAGTCAAAGTGTTTACTCGACTAATGAAGCATCAATTATGGAGACAGTCAGACTCCTTTGGGGCCAACATAACAGAGTCATGAAAACAACCTTGGGGGATAACAATGGTAGCCTAGGATTTCCCCAAATTGCAATCAAGTTACTGTGTCATTAGGCAGCTAAAATAATTTCTGTCTTCTTTCCATAAAATAAGTGAGGCAGGAAGATGATTTTTTCAGTCCCCTTCCATGTTGGGCATTCAGAATGACAGGTGTGTGTTATGTCATCATAAAACAGAATTCTCTGTGCAGTAAACACAGTTAGAGCTACAGGAAAGACAGTGGAAGCTGTAGCCATTTGGTATGTATTTGGGGTTTTATTTGCCAATCATCAAGCAAATTCAAACCAGCCTTTTTGTGCATGCTCTCTCCCTGTCTCTCTGCCTAGTGTGCATTTGATCTTTGGGAAATGTCTCTGGCAATGCATGTCTTCTAATACCCAGGAAATTACCGGGTGTGGAGTCTTCACTCAATAACTGGTTTTGTTCAGTAAAAAGGCACATAAATGAAAAGAGAGAGCTAGACATGGTGGCACACACCTATAACTCCAGAACTCAGAGAACTGAAGCAGGAATGTGGCAAGTCCAAGGCCAGCCTTGGCTCCTTAATTAAACCATATCTCTTCAACCTCTCCCCCCCCCACACACACACAAAAGGAGGTTAGTGGTGTAGCTTAGCACTGACAGTAAAGTCCTTGTTGGGTCGTCAATTTCCTTAGAAGAAAAGAATAAAGCTATGTTTGTATCAAGAACAGATCTTCAGTATGTCAGAGTAAACAAGCCTAAAGAAGAGGTTAATGACTGTGTTCTCTGTGACTGGGAGCCATGTCTGGTGGACAATAAATCAGCCCCCGCTGAGGGCTTGAAGAGATGGGTTCAAGGAAGCTAGACTGCAGGAGGTTTACAAAGCTCATGCTTCGGTGCTTATTAAACTCCTAGCAATGCACTGTACCTTTCTGGTATCAGGCCAGGCACAAATATAGTGAACACTAACATCAAATCAAGCTCTGAAGAGAATTTGTACTAGTAAATGGAAATCTGCTTCATTGACAGTGAAGTTCATAGATCATTTATTGTTTTCAATGAACACTGACCAACCACTATGCAGAATGCACCACCCAAGGGACTAGAGAGGTGATGCCTCAGGCTGAAGGGTACTTGCTGTTATTGCTGAGGACCCAAGTTAGATTCTCAGCACCCATATTGGGTGACTCACAACTGCCTGTAACAGCAGCTCCAGGGATATCTAACACCTCTGGCCTCTGCAGGCACCAACATAAACATGTGAGCACATACACACCACACACACACACACACACACACACACACACACACACACACGGGCACATACACACAAGGCACACACACCACAGCAATGCATTTTAAAAACAACACTGCATGAGATACTGCCTGAACATATGTTTGCCTAAAAGAAGTTCATACATGAATGTCTGTTCTCCAATACAAACTCAGACAACCGAAGCAAGCAGTAAAATAAGATCAGCAAGCAGCATGGCAGAGACACGGTGAATGATCAGGGAGGGCTGCTTTCAATTGACAGCAAAAAGCAAGAATTTTATGGAGCAAGAAGCATATAAAGTGGTTTTTAAAGGCTGTGTTGCATTTTTGCTCATGGAAACAGGGGAAAAGCAGACCCTTGTCTTAGCAGCTGCTAGAAAATACATCACAGGGCAAAACAAGCTTAACACTAGCATCTAACAGAAGCCAGGGCTCATCAAGTCCTAAGAACTTTAAAGGCTTGATCAAACAAAGCCTCACCATGCTTTTGTGGGAAGTTTGGGGGGGGGGGTTCCACTGCCTTGCACTCCTCTCAGATGAGGACACTGAGATCTAGAAAATAACAATGTTTGCCCAAGCTCACTCCCTGGAAGACTCAGCAGGTCGTTCAAGAGTGCTGAAGCATGAGCCAGGGAAGATGGATACATCTGAGAGGTTCCTTTGGGCTAAATGAGAAGCAGCCAGAACACTCCAGTGATCTTCCAGAGAATCCAACCTAGGCGATTAAAAAGTAAAAGGCAAAAGCCCCTGTATGTTTAAATAAAGCAAAGTAGAATGATAATATTCTTTATGCACGTTTCTTTCTTACAAACTTCTAGGTTGGCTTTGTCTCCCTTCCCTACTGTTCCCCATTGACACATGTCCCTTATACATTATTTTAAATGAACCAAAAAACAGCCCTCCCCGGGTACCTTTGTCATTGTCGAAGTCTAAAAACGTCAGGGAAAACGGGAAGGGATGTGAGTTTCCTTTACTTACAACTCGACTCTCCTTTCTGGGGGTGGAAACACTGGTGCTGAAATATAGGTAACACTGGCCGAAAGTCTAGTGGCATTTACAGGTTAAAGAACCTGTTTATGTGCAGGCACACGACTGTGCAATTCTTGCTGATTCCCATGCTGCAGTTAGGAACTGACAGCTAAAGATGATACTAAAAGTTTGAAATCTTCTTGCACTCGGTGGAGTTCATTTGCTGCTCAGGAGACAGCATCATTGTATCTCTCTATTCATAATGATGTGATCCTATTCCTCTGCAGTTTGCTGGCAGCCATGGACATGAGGCTGTCATGTCAATGCAGACACATTCTTTCAGTGGGCATGCACTGTAGCCACCCTGAACACCCACCCCAGAAGGGGCACCCAACCCCCAAGTGAATTTTGTTTTCATAGAGATTAGTAAAGTGGATGGGTTATTCTTTCCTTTTTTTTAATCAGCTTCTCAGCTTCTGGCATCCACAAAAACACATACTTATTAGAAATACTGTTTACTGAGCACACATATTCCCTGGAAAATGTGAAAATTCCTCTTTGGTCTTTATTTGCTCCTTTAGTAAGCTTTTCCTATTCTATTTATGCTCATTTTATATTTGGTTTATTATTCCAGGAGCTGTGAGGATTAAAACACATATTCCCCAAAGACCTCTATTTCTAGGCTCTTTGAGTTAAACCACCAATATTTTAATCTTCATCTTGAGTAGTCCCATTTACTATGTTGTTTAATGATAATAACAACAGTTACGGTTTATTGATAATTTATTATTGGAATTTTGCTTTTTTTCTGACTCCTGTGGTGCTAAGATGAAAAAGGCTTGAGATGCTTCCACTGTGAGCACCTAGTGCAGTGACTTGACACATGTTTTTGGTGACCCACAGAATTCCTGTGCCTTAATTTTATGACAAGGGATAGCCTCCCCTGTGAACACTAAGTGCGTGCTATTAAAATGGAGGCAGTCTTCCAGCCTTTTTCAGGAGCGTGGAGAGTTGCTGAAGAAGTCAGTGGTGTTTCTGGGGGCTAAACGTTCACAAACTAAAACCAGATTTCAGAGACTGAAAGTTTATTTTAGCTCTTTAAACCAAGTTCTTTCCCCACTTCTCAACCATGTTCTATTTTAGATACATCATACGTTTTGTGAATAAGCACAGTACACATATGAATATTTTAGCCTGCCTGTCCATAAGTTCTATAAGACATGTTGACAATCCAATACCCATTTCAATTGTCTTTAATATGTAAATGATGTTTATGGTAGCTGTTTCCAATAGCCATCATTTGGATACATGCTTCAGTTTATAGACATTTGAAGTTATTAAAGTTTTTAAATGACCCATCATTTAAAGCCTAACCTTTATTACCATGGAGTTTTTTAATAGATGTTTGTGAGCATTGGCATGCATGCCTAAAATGTGTTTTCAGAAGCCACAACTCAAGTTCATCATGTATTTTTTGAACAAAACAATTTACTCAATAAAAAGCCAAAAGCATGTTTTTCATAATTTCACCATAATTTTATTTTGTATTTACAGTCTTCAATTTCTAATGCAGGGTCTAGTTGAGCCTTGGGGAGGGTGGGGGTTAAGGAAGAGAGATTGGGTTTGGAGGAGAGGGTCAGGGGTCTGGCTGAGGCAGTGATACTAAAGCTAACAGGATGTGAATGTCTTCCAGAAGAAGTTCTTGCAGCCAGCTTTGCGTTCCCGGGGTGCCATGGCTGGGTTCGAATTGGCAGACCTCTGCAGCTCCAGCCTCATTTCATCCTGCTCCGCTGCCTGGGGCAAATCTTCGGGTTCCAGGGCATCATTCTCTGTCTGGTTGGGCTCAGACAGCAGCTCTGCCAGGAAGTACTTGGCCAGTTCCTGGATGGGGCAGAGAGGAGAGCAAAGGGAGGAAGTGCAGTTTGAAAATAAGATTTAGTCATTCAAAATCCAGTTTTCACAATAATAAGGGTGGTTGGTATATTCACTAGATTATGGTGGTAGTGGGGATTTCCAAAAACCCAAATCTTCCATCAAGGCTCTGCCTCGGTAGGCTTAAAACACAGAGGAACTGCGTATGATTTAAAAAGTGATTTTACAAATAAATAGGATGCCAACAGTTTGCGCAGTTCCATTTCCACCTTTTCTGTGATACAGAGTGGACCTGAATTCTTGCCAGTCCCTCACCCACATCCCAGCCCCAAGGTAAAGGCTAACCTCCCTGCTGGGCTGCGGAGCCCCCTCGCCCCAGCCTCCTTTTATGGAATAACACCGCGCTTCAGCACCTGGGTCAGCAACCCTCATGGCAGCACCAGGGATAGAGCCCAGTCCCGGGACTCAGTTAACCAGTTTGTAAATTTTCTTGGACGCCAGGGAGGGACTTACCTGCAAGGTGACCCATCTGCGCTGATCAAGTCGGGAAAGAGTAAGAAGGGACCCCAGACTCCAAAAGTTTCCCCGGGAGGTTAGGGGCTGAGCCACTCTAAGAAGCGCCAGCCAAACACCTGTAGCAAGGCTAAGGGGGAAAACTAGGGGAATTCGCAAGAGGGACGCGTCCCGGCCATTTCCTTACCTGTTTTCCTGCAGCAGCCGCCAGAGACTTCTGCAGAAACTGGCGGAGTCTGGGGTCCGAGGGCGCGCCGGTGACACCGCCCAAGGCCAGGACGATGCAGAGCGCGGCCAGCGCGCACTGGAGGCGGCAGGACAGCATCTCTGCAGCCACAGGCAGCTAAGCAGGAGCGCGATGGGTCAGGTCTTCAGCAGCAGCGACGGCTCCGAGTAGCGTCCCCTTCAGCTGCTATCGAGCTCTCCACGGTCTCCCCCTTTTAAACTCTCTCTCTGACGTCAGTCGAGGAGGCGCCCCCAGATCTCACCAGTGCTTTTACGCACCATTAGCTTCGCAAAATCAATCACAGAAGTGAGGGGAGGCGACACGATCTAAAGTGGCTTATTTTTAAAAAGAAAAAGGAAAAAAAAAAGCCTACACCCACACAGGCACATGAAATTCCCCATGCCACACAGACCATACAATCTTACTTTCACTCAGTGCTGACACACACACATTCCATATTTCAGCCACGTATGTGCACACTCAATTACACAAAGAGCACTCAGTCCTTGGCTAACAAATACAGCATCACACACAGCTGGGTACCTGTTACTGTGTTTAACTGTGTTGTACGACAAATGAGACTTAGAACCATCGTCTAGGAACAGATCTGAGAAAGAAATGTGCAATTAAGGAAACTGAACTATCTCCTCTCCCTCCGTCTCCTAAAGCCTTATAGGAAAAAGGATGAGACTGGGCTGTAAAGGAACCTCACTTTTGTCTCATCTACCTATCCTTCTAGTGTAACAAAAGAAAGACAGTGGAGGGACAAAGGCACGCAAGAGGGAAGAGAGGGAGAGACTACATTTTGGCACCTGGAAACGGCCCTACAAAGCAGTCTCGAAAATTATCTAATAAGCCTCAGACTTTGAATCAAGAATGCTTAAGAGACTTACAGACAATTGCTCTGTACAGTTGGAGCAAAGACCAGACTCCCAGGCCAGGGTTCTTGCTCAGCATTGTAAATGTTCTGACAGATTCCTAGCCAGGAAGAGAAATCCTGGCTTAGGAATCCCTAGGAAGGGCATATGAAAGTTTAGGAGCCCCTGGTAGTGTGCAGCTATTGTGTATCTGTGTGGGGAAAGGATGACCAGACTGTCAGAGCCTCTCTTTCTTATACTACAGAGGGAGTTTAAGGGGTGTTTGAATCTAGTTGGGAGCTCGGGCTGCAGTTTTCAAAGTGATTGCTTATTAAGGAAATGCCAGCTCCATTCCTGGCACAGAACAGGTCTCCACAGGCTCTTCAAGGACTAATATTTTGGGATTGTCAGTGAAGCCAATAGTAGAGTCTTTTAAAAATGGACAGCTCCAGAAGTCAATGTTCCCAATGCCGCTGTGGGCCATGCATCATGAATTAGAGCATTCCCAATACTTGCATCCAAATCAAGAAGTGGGCAGGTGAGAGGGGTTGGTCAGCATCTTGAAATGGTTTGGATAATATTTCCTTTCGTATCTGTAAGCCAAAGCAGGAGAGCAGGAGCAGCAGGGAGTGCTAAAGCTTCTGGGGCTTACCAGTTCCAGGCAGGGTAAGCACAAAGTAAAACATTAAATTGAAAAATCACTCATGTGCAAGAGCAATGAGTCTAGAGAGCTATGGAACCCAAACCTGGAAAATAAGCCATACTCCTATGTATCCTAGGATCTTGCCAGGCTCCAGGCTGGGGCCTCAGAGTCTGTATTGGTCACCCATCCATCCTTCCTCAAATGAGTCCCATATCCCTTGCCCTTAGCAGCCCCACAAGTAGAAAAAGAAAACCAGTGACTAAACAATGGGCATCTGGCCATCTCGTTGTCTTCTGCCTCCTTTTCCAGAGCTTCCACGTGCCTGTCCTTGCCCTCTATGGCTTGCCCCCTCTCCGCTTTCTCTTTTCATATCCTTCTCCCAAATTCCTCTCTCAGTCCTTGTCAGTCCTTTCCCTGCACACCTAGCTTCATTTCTGTTTTTATTTTCACATTTAAGTTACCTTCTGATCTCCCTCTGGTTTCATCTGGCTGTTTCCTGCCTCCTTTGCCCTTCGCCCTCCTTTCTCACCGTGCCTGGCCAATGCCTGGCTCAGACTCTGCTTCTAGGCAGCTTTCCTCTCTGGTTCCCCCTTCCCTTCTCTTATCTCCTCAGCTGTTTCCTCCTGGAAATACTCTCCTGATGCGGGAGCAGTTTGAGCACCTACTCGGGAAGCAGAGCAGGAGCTGCTTCTCCCACACTCCCGCTGAAGCGCTGAGGCTGTGGACCAGATGACTCCTGGGGTTTGATTTGCTTTTTCAATCCTTGGATTGTTATGAATCTAAGATCCACTTAAAAGAAGAGTCAGGGCACATTTTCCCACACCCCACAACAGGCAATTTTAGTACAAAGGATGGCTTAGCATTGAATTGCCTCAAACTCTCTAGCCTGCACATTGTGAAATAACCCCAGGACCTCTGTCCCAAGTCTCAAGGCTGAGAGTGGAAGGTGGACTGTTGTGGTAGCCAGCAATCACCTGCCCTCTTCACCATGCAGTCTCTATGAGTCACCAACATGAGTTGCACAAGTCACAGAAGGAGACTGAGGTCTTGAGAGCATAAGGGCTTTGCTCTGGACCTGAGGCAGGGAGTAGTATGGTCAAAGGAAAATGCATCCTATTTCTCCCATAACTAGGATTCATGAAAATTTGACTCCACTCACTATCACCCCTAGTGACCTAGAAGAATTCTTGCTTATAGTTACCAAAAGCTTAAGTTCTGCTGGCTTAGAAGTTTTGGTTCCAATGGCAGCCAGAATCCTGCCTGGAGACACAACAAGCATTCCATTGAACTTGAAGCTCTGAAATCCCCCTGGCCACTTTGGGCTTCTTATGCCCTTAAACCAACAGCATAATAAAGGAATAACAGTGTTAAGAGGGGCAATTAATACAGACAGGCAGGGTGGGGTATGGAGGGTAGGGGTGACTAGGTTGTTTCTCCACAATGGAAGTAAGGTTGTTTCTGGGGTACAGGAGATCATTTAGGGTACCTCTGGTTGTGACCATGTTCTTTGATTAGAGTCAATGGGAAACTACAGCAGCCTAATTCAGGCAGGATGGCAAAGGACCCTTCAGGAAGAAAGTTATAGGTCACTCCTCCAAGAAAAGAACCCCCAAACCTGCCAGGGTGCTGTCTGAGGGTGAAGGACATACAAAATGTAGAGGAAGGAAGTTCTAAATACCAGCAGAAAAGTGGATTGTAATTAACATGAGTGTTCTGTTTAGTTGTTATTAGCAGCAATGTGTTTGTGCGTAAATGCCACACATTAAGCAATGTTTGTGTTCCTCTAAAGTGCTTTCACGTTTCTGAAAATGCAAGAAATGTTTCTGAGAGTTCCAAGGATTCAAGAAGCCTGGGCGTATGCAAATCACTTCTCTAGGGCATCTTGCAAATGGAAAGCCTCTTACATTCCAGATAGAATAAACTTAGAAACAAAGTCATTGGTGGGGAAAGTAACACAGTTTAGGGAGACACAGCCCAAGTGTCTGAGACCCTAGGCACAAATCTCTGGGTTTTTCTTGCTGACCACCACCAAAATAGTCCTTACAAGATTTGAGAACCAGGTCAGGCAATGGACTCAAACGTGCTTGATAGCCATAAAGCAGTGTAAGACTATCAAGGCCAGGTTTTGCTGTTGTTGCTGGATGGAAGTAGCCATTCCTCCCCTGAGGACTGATTCCCCATGAGCCAGTCAAACACTGTAGGAGGTAGACTGTTCAAGCTGATGTCATGGTCCATGGCAAGTTTTCCTCCTCCCAGGAGCATCCTTCCCACCTTTACCTTGGAAACACATGTCTTGCAGTTTGGAAACTATTAACTCTTTTGTGTGGATTGACTAGAATTGTTTTCTAGATTTAGAGCTGGCTCACAAAAGGTTCAAGTCAAGGGGAGGAAGATGAACTTGCAGCATGCAACACTTGCCTTGCAGAGGGCAGACTTGCCAGGGTGTGGTGTTGGAGCTGAGAGCAGGCTGTATATAACCTATTCTTCTCCAAGGGCAAAGCTGCTTGGGTGAAACTCCCACGAGGGCCTTTTCTCCTAAGTGCCCCTACCACCAATGAGTGCAAGAATAAGTGTTTACAGTCCTCTAAGGAGTCCTCTAGGCTGCCGGAGTCCAGCTCAAACCCACAGAGCTCCTGATTCCAATGGAGACAGGTGTTGCTGCAAACTTCCACAGAGCCCACACCACAGTGACTACCATAGACACTAATGAGTGAAAAACTTTCAGGTTTCACATTGTTGGGAGGGAGGGAAATGTGGTGAAGTATCTTATCTATCTGATCTTTTTCCTCTTCACAGCAACAGCTTTAAATGCGGGCAGGTGGGGGGAGACTGCCAGCAAGTCCGAATACAGATGCACCAGCCAGCCAGGCATGTTTCTCTGGACCCAAGTTTTCTCATGAGGCTCACACGGGGCCGCTCCTCATCAGTCAGTCCTTCTGGTCCCCCAAGCTCTTTTTCCTCAGTGCACATGTCCTGTTCTCTCCCACATGCATTTGTACTTGCTGTTTCCTCTCCCTGGAATATCTTTGACCCCATCCCTGACAGTTAGGCCATGTAGTTCATGCTAAGATATTCCCAACGACTCCTTACTTAAAATTAACAGGCTTTCTTCTGTGCCCCAAAGTGGGTCTCGTGCACCCGTTGTCTGGGACTGTCCCAGGTCATTTCATGCACCTCTGTCTTGAGAGTCCATGTCTCATCCATAAGTCTAGGGACTCATGGAGGGCAGACACCTGTTCCAGCTGTGTCTGCTTGAGAAAGTTAGACACAGGCCAGCCTTGGTGACCCATATCTGGAATCCCAGCACTCAGAGATAGGAACAGGGGAATTGTGAGAGAAAGGTCAGGGAAGCCACATAGCAAATCTAATATCAGTGGAGGATTGACACAAAACCCCTACCTTAAAAACAAATGAAGAAAAAAATGGGCACAAGGTGGTTGTCAAAAAATGATGATTAAGTTGCAGGCGAGCTACTCTCTCCTTACGTGTGACGCCTCTGTGGATTCCGCAAGCAGGACAAGCATCACAGGCCTTGGGTTACCAAGGACTGCATCACTTGATGTACACTTCCCACTGCATACAGTCTTCCAGAACATACA